TGCTAAACGCGCCGTTTCAGAGCTGCTTCCCAATAGGCCTTACACGCCATTACACGCCAGAAACCCTAAACCCTAAACCCTAAACCCTAAACCCTCTTTAATAGGGCAGTCAGCGATGCCATTTGCGAATGCAAACGACCCAAAACACCCAATGACGAGGTTTCTAAACCCTAAACCCTAAACCCTAAACCCTCAAATTTAAACCCTGCTAAACGCGCGGTCTCAAGAGCTGTCTTCCAATGGGCCTTACACGCCATTACACGCTAGAAACCCTAAACCCTAAACCCTAAACCCTAAACCCTCTTTAATAGGGCAGTCAGCGATGCCATTTGCGAATGCAAACGACCCAAAACACCCAATGACGAGGTTTCTAAATCCTAAACCCTAAACCCTAAACCCTAAACCGTTATCTCTAAACTCTAAACACCACGAAGTCCGCCAGCTCGAAGGCTGCCTGTCAGTGTAAGCTATAAGCATTATACCGTACTCCCTATGCCCTAAACCCCAAACCCTAAACCCTAAATGAGTGTTTAATTCAGGGACGCGTGCAAATTGAGGGTTTTGCGAATTGGGAGTATTCTCTTTCGATGGTGAAGAGGGCAGAAGAAAACCAAAAAAGGGCCGACGAAATGACTCAGGTGCCCCAAACCCTAAACCCTAAACCCTAAACCCTAAACTGAATTTTGCTTCTTTTTCTTTCATCTTTTCGCAGCCTTCAAGCCCTGCACCTGCCTGCTATCCTTTCCTTATTCTTTCTAATTTTATTTATTTATTTATTTATTTATTCATTTATTTATTTATTTTTAGAGAATTGCAAATGCCATTTCTTTGACTTCGGCGCTGCGCAACGACAGAGGAATGCTCAATGCCATGGCCCAGGTAAATAAAACAAACAAATAAATAAATAAATAAATGAAAATAAATAAATAAAAATAAATAAGCAAATAAATAAATAAATAAATTAGTAAATAAATAAATAAATAAAATTAAATAAAGTAAAAAAAATAAATAAATAAATGGTGAAAGGGCGGCTTCGAGTTGTTTGAAAGAGTTAAATATTTTTGGAAAGCTTAAATTTTGGAATAATAAAAAGATTTATTTTAATTTATTTATTTTAATATTAAATAATTTTAATTTTCCCTTTTAAATGGTGTGGGGCCCCACACTTCATCTTTAAAATTTTTTTTTTCTTTTTAATTAAAATAAACAAATTTAAAACTTTAATTCAAGTTGATTAGAAGCTTTTAAAGAATTGATTGTTTTCATTTTTATTTCTTTTCCGAATTTTCCCTCAAAAATCTCTTTCCCTTTTCCTTTTTTTAATTCTTTTCTTTTAAATTTAATCAGTGTGGTATTTTAAGCATTTCTTTTAAATTTCTTTTAAAAACTTTTTTTATTTATTTAATTAAATGCCATCAGGCCATCTTTAGAATTTTATTTTTATTTTAAAGAAGTTTATTTCTTTTTTCTCCTTTTTGTGTTTCTTTTATTCTTTTTCTTTTATTTATTTCCACATTTTGCCTTTATTCTTTCTAGTTTTATTCTTCTCATTTTTAAGGACTCTTTTCTTTTTCCTTTTTCCAGTTTGCTGCTGCTGCTGCTGCTGCTGCTGTTGCTGCTGCTGCTGCTGCAGATGGCTGGCGCTGCTGTCGCCAGGGGCAACCGATTCGCCTAAACAAAAAAGAATAAATGAAAAATTAAAAAATTTGATTATTTTATTTTAAATTAATTTATTTAAACCAAATTAATAAAATGATCCGCGAAAGATGGCGGCGGTGCTGCTGGCTTGCGCTGCTGCTATGCCCTGGCAGCAGCAGCAGCAACAGTAGCAGCAGCAGCAGCAGCAACAGTAGGTTTTGCCCCGCCTGCAGCAGCAGCAGCAGCAGAAAGACCAGCAGCAACGGCAATGGCGGAATCAGCAGCAACGGCAGCAGCAGCAACAGCAGCAGCGACGGCGGCGTCTTTAACAGTCTTAACATCATGAGCAGCAGCAGCAGCAGCAGCAGCAATAGCAGCAGCAGCAAGGACAGCTTCAATCATCTTGCCACGAATTTCCTAGGTGTTTTATGTGTCGCTGCCCTTTTGCTGCAGCAAATTAAAAGGGACACCTAGCAGCAGCAGCAACAGCAGCAACAGCAGCAGCAGCAGCAGCAGCAGCAGCAGCAGCAGCAGCAGATGCTGCAGCATTTGTAGCGAATGCAGCAGCAATAGCAGCAAATAAAGACACCTTTATTTTAAGGAGACAAATACAATCTTTTGTCTCCTTTTTGTTTTTTTACTTTTCCTTTTGCATGTCAAACCAACTTGACCATTTAAGACCAAATTTTGGGGCGGAAGCAGCAGCAACAGCAGCAGCAGCAGCAGCAGTAGCGAAGGTAGCAAAGGCAATAGCAGCAGCAGCAGCAGAAGCAGCCTTTTGTGCATTGGTGAGATTGAGGAGGCTTGAGAAAGAGATCGGGGTTTAGGGTTTAGGGTTTAGGGTTTAGGGTTTAGGGTTTAGGGTCTAAGTTTTTGCCTCACAGGGCTCAAGGCCAGGGAGCGAGGGTTTAGGGTTAAGGGTTTGAAGCAATTTGCCTGCTGGCTTTTACGACTTAGGGTTTAGGGTTTAGGGTTTAGCATCTTAGCAATATGAATTGCATTTTCATTGAAACCAGTTAATTTCCTTCTCTCCAAAGAAATGCCTTTTGAACCGAACTCAAATCCAGGCAAAAAATTAACGCGTCGCGCACATCTAGGGTTTAGGGTTTAAAGTTTAGGATTTAGGGTTTACGGCCAGTCCAAGCTCAAAATTGCGCAGCAAATCCCCGTAATTGATTTAAAAAAGGAATATGACTCAAAAGGATAAAATATAATTCTTTTAATTTCGATTTTGAGCTTTTCCGCATTTAGAGTTGCAGTGTAAGTACACCTGAACACAGTAGCAGCGCTTCGGGGGCCCCCATGGGGCCCCTGGGGGCCCCCGCTGGAGGAAAGGCATTTGGGTCTTCTTTGCTGCGTTTTTTGATTTAATTGTGTTGCAAATGAGGAAAGAAAAGAATTGAATTGCTTTTGAACTTTGAATCAGGGCCTGAATGGGAGGAAGCAGCGGGGAGAGGCGGCGGCTGCAGTTCGCTTCTCGGAGTTGACGCAGGTGGAATTAGGCATTTTCTGCCGGGCGATTGCGAGTAATATTTCGTTTTTGCGGTTAATTTCTTTTATTTTATCCTTTTCTTCTTTTTTTCCGGCTTTACCTGCAGATTAGTGGCAAAACGTGGCCGCGGCGGCGGTGCCCGATCTGCGCATACACCGTGGGGTGTATAAGCAGCTCGGGCATTCCGTGGACTTCCCCCGCGAGATTTTCGTCGGTTTTTCTTTTTTGAATTGGATTTGAGCTTTTCTTTTTCGTTTCCTGGCATCTTTTTGCATTTGGGACCCGCGTGCCCGGCGTATAAGGCCTCTTTGGGAGTTTTCGCGGCAAAATGGACTTCAAGATCGCGGGCGAAGGCGGAAACGCCGTGCTGCAGACCATCCACGCCAGCGAGGGCGGGCGGGCCATTCGGCTGCTGCAGCAGCGGCAGCAGCTGCAGCAGCACCTGCAGCAGGCGAAGGAAAAGTTGGAAACAAAAGGCAGCAAAAGAAAAAACATCAACTGGGGAGGCTCTGTGGCCGACAGACTCGAAGAAGAATTCAAAAAAGAAACTGTCGGCCTCGTCACTGCGGAGGACTTCAAAGAACGCAGGCAGAAGCTGCAGCAGCAAATCCAGTTTGCTGCCAAGGACCTCTTCACCAGGCATGCCTCCTCCTGCTGCTGCTGCTGCTGGTTTTGCTGCTGCTGCTGCTGCTGCTGGTCTTGCTGCTGCTGCTGCTGCTGCTGGATTTGCTGCTGCCGCTGCTGGGGCTGCCGCGGGTATATTTGCTGGCGGTGGGGCTGGTGCTGCTGCTGCCGATGTTTGCTGCGGATGCTGCAGCTGGTGCTGCTGCTTCTGCTGCTGCTGCTGGTACTTGCTGCTGCTACTGCTGCTGCTAGTGCGGATTCTTCTCGCTGCTGATGCTGACAGCTGCTACTGCTGATCTGTTGCTGTTGCTGATTGGCTGTTGCTGGTGCTGCATTTTGCTGCTGCTGCTGGAATTTGCTGCTGCTGCTGCTGCTGCTGCACCTTCATTTTTGCTGCTTCTCTTTGTCTCCTTTTCCTTTGCTTCTTGGGCTCATTCTCTCAGCAAATTGATTGTTTAATTACCTATTTATTTATATTATTTTTTTATTTATTCATTTATTTGTGCTGCTGCTGCTGCTGCTGCTGCAGCAAACAAGAAAGGAGGAAATATGAAATGAAAATGGTGAAGAGCAAATTGTCTTTTGGAGATGACGAAGCTGAAGAAGTGGCAGCTCAAGAAATAAAAGAAGAAAAAGAAATAAATGAAATGAATAAAATGAATGAAATAAATAAATTAAATGAAACAAATGAAATAAATAAAATAAATACAGAAATAAATAAAGATATTAATTGCTCAGTCAAAGGAGAATCAAATTCCGAGTCGGCGGACCCGCGCAGCAGCAGCAGTGCAGCAGCAGCAGCAGCAGGAACAGCAGCAGCAGCAGCAGCAGCAACTGGGGCTTGCACAGCTCTCGTGAAAGTCAAACAGGAAGAGTCTCCAAGTCCGGAGAAAACAACAGAGCCAAGTGGGTTTAGGGTTTAGGGTCTAGGGTTTAGTGTTTAGGGTTTAGGAGGGTTCAGGGTTTTGGAGGGTTTAGGGTTTAGAGGGTCTAGTAGGGTTTAGGGTTTAGGGTTTAGGGTTTAGGGTTTGGTTGATGTATGTAATGCAACTCACATAAAGCTGCGTGTTTATATAAATATAATATCTCCCTGCCACAAATAAATAAAAACTATCATATTTTGTTGCTGCTGCAGCAGCTGCTGTAGCAGCAACAAAGACTGCAGCAGCAGCTGCAGCAGCTGCTGCTGCTGCTGCATTTAGAATTCAACAGAGTGCTGTTTTCAAAATAAAAAACTAAAAGACACAAACAGTGCACATCATGTATGTGCTGCTGTTTGTGCTGCTGCTGCTGCTGCTGCTGCTGCTGCTGCTGCTGCTGCTGCTGCTGCAGCTTTTAAGATCCGGAAGCGAATTTGCAAAGACCCAACTGTCGACACGAGTTACCTCCCTGTGAGAATTATTTTTAATTTTAATTTAAATTCAATTAATTTTAATTTATTTTATTTTATTTTAATTTATTCTAATTTGTTTTTGCCTTTATTTACTATTTTTATTTGTTATTCACTTGTTATAAATATTTGCCTTTGCATTTGCTACAATAAATATATTTCAAAGATATTCTTGCTGCCTCCTGTCTGCTGCTGCTGCTGCCCTTGCTGCTGCTGTTGCTGCTGCCTTTGCTGCTGCTGTTGCTGTTGCCTTTGCTGCTGCCGTTGCTGCTGCCTTTGCTGCTGCTAACTTTGCTGCTGCTGCCTTTGCTGCTGCTGCAGCTGCCTTCGCTGCTGCGTTCTTCTACTGCTGCTGCTGCCATTGCCGCTGCTGCAGCTGCCTTTGCTGCTGCAGCCGCCTTTGCTGCCGCCTTCTGCTGCTACTGCTGCTGCTGCTGCTGCTGCTGCTGCGCTTGCCATGTGGTTCGTAGCTGCCTGGTTCTTCTTACAATTTTCCACGTTTTATTTTTTTCCGTTTTTCATTTAATTATTTTAATTTAATTCTCTTTAACTAATTCTTTTTTTAATTCTTTTGTTTAATTTTTTAATTTGATTCTTTTTATTTAATTCCTTTATTTAATTCCTTTTATTCAATTCTTTTCATTTAATTCCTTCTAACGAATTCCTTTTAACTCCGGTCTTTTATTTAATTTTTTAAAATTAATTCTCTTTTTTAATTCTTTTATTTAGTTCTTTTACCTAGCTCTTCTATTTACTTCTTTTATTTAATTCTTTTATTTAATTCTTTATTTCATTATTTATCTATTTAAGTATTTGTTTAATTATTTCATTTTATTTGTTTTTATCGATTAAAGGATAAAGAAAGAGACGCAACACTGGCGGAAGAAGTTCTTCGATTCTCTTTAAACATTTTATTTAATTATTTAATTATTTATTTAACTAATTATTTTTTTAATTGTTATTTTGTTTATTTTATTATTTTATTTGTTTTATTTATTAAAGGATAAAGAAAGAGACGCAAAACTGGCGGAAGAAAGACAGAAATTAATTGAAGAGTACAGACGAAAAGAAGAGGAGGAAAAGAGTGAGTGGTGTACATACACCCCAAACCTCACACTTCGCCGAAACGCTTTTCTTCGATTCCCAAGTTTTATTTATTTATTTATTTTCATTTACTTATTTTTATTTTCATTCGTTTATTTTTATTTTCGTTTATTTATATTTGTTTTCATTTATTTGTTTCTATTTGTTTTGTTTACATTTATTTTTATCTATTTTTATTGGTTTTAGTTTGTTTTTGTGTATTTATATTTATTTTTATTAATTTTAATTTGTTTATTGTGTATTTTCTGTTTTTTGTTTTTTTCAATTGCCCGTTCAATGAACCTCTTTGCTATTTAGAAGTAACACCAAGAGCAGCAGCAGCAGCAGCAGCAGCAGCAGCAGACTCACAACCACTAGGCAGCAGCTGCGAACTCTAATTAGCGTCAAACGTTTCTGCCCTTACTTCGGATCGACCCCAAGCCCCAAACCCTAAACCCCAAACCCTAAGTCCACACAGAAATGCCTCTCACAGTAGCCGTTTCTTCCTGGAACAGCCCCACCCCCCAAACCCCAAACCCTAAACCCTAAACCCTAAACCTCTCCCCGAAGCCGCAAACCCCAAGCCCCAATTTCCGCACAGAAACGCCTCCCACAGCGCCCTCCCGCGCCGCACGCGCCCCCCAAACCCCAAACCCCAAACCCCAAACCCTAAACCCTAAACCCTAAACCCTAAACCCGCGTTTGCGCGCAGGAATGCCGCTGACAGTCACCTTCTCGTACTGGGACGGCTCGGGGCACCGGCGGCGCCTCCAAGTGCTGCGGGGAATGTCCGTGGGGGAGTTTTTGGAAAGAGCAAAAAGAGAATTGGAAAAAGAATTCGTCGAAGTTCGCTCGGTGCCTGCGGAGAACCTCCTCTACGTCAAGGAGGACCTCATTCTGCCCCACGTAAGAGCATCTGGCTAGCTGGCTGGCTGGCTAGCTGGCTGGCTAGCTGGCTGGCTAGCTGGCTGGCTGGCTGGCTAGCTGGCTGGCTAGCTGGCTGGCTAGCTGGCTGGCTAGCTGGCTGGCTAGCTGGCTAGCTAGCTGGCTAGCTGGCTAGCTGGCTGGCTAGCTGGCTGGCTAGCTGGGTGGGTGGC